CCGAGGAGTGGCTGGTGGGTTTGAACCGCCAGCCGTCTGGTTAGCAGGCAAGTGTCTTAGCCACTATGCTACCAAGGCTCCCTTTTACTGAGTAGGGGTAATGAAATTAAATATTTACTCATATGGGTAAATAGGTACTGCTCTGTGAATTCCATTGTAACTTTGTAATTAATATGCTGTTACCATTGAGTCCCACCAAGTATTATTTTGCCTTCTGGACATGATACAGATAGACTCTTCTATTGTTTGTGGTTACCCTCACAGTTTTGGGTTTTTTTTTTTTTTTTTTCTTTCTCACTCTAAGCTTGCTTTTGGGTTAACACAATTATGTTTCCACTTTCCTTGCGTTATGAAGAAAGAGCCCTAAAGGTCCATAGTTAGGCCTGTTATAGGGTTTGCAGCCTAATAACTTGTCTTCTACCCTTTGGCAGGTGTGCTGTCATCTTGAAGTGGCAAGAAGAAACCACACAGGCAAACTGGGCTTTTCTGTTTCACTCTAGATGACAGGAGGGTAGTGGTGGCTCAGTGACAGAATTCTCACCATCCGTGCAGGAGTCCTGGGTTTGAGTCCCAGTCAGTGTGCCTCATGTGCAGCTACTACCTTTCTGCCAGTGGAGTCTTGTGTGTTGCTATGGTGCTGAACAAGGTTCAGGGGTGCTTCCAGACCTAGATGGACTAGGAAGAGAGGCCTGGCAATCTACTGAAAATCAACCAGTGAAAACCCTATAGACCACATCAGTCTAATCCACAACCAATCCCGGGGCAGCATTTTGTTCCTTTGTACATGGAGTTGCTAAGAATTGGGGACAACTCAATGGCAACTAACACCAACATCAAAAACAATAACTAGAAATAAATGAAAGTAGTCTTTTGTTCCCTTCTTTCCTGCTAGAAAGTAGGATTGAGAAACTGTTCGTTTCTGCTAGTGCTTTTGTTTATGACACACTCAGAAGACCTTTTGCTATACTCTTGAGGTTGATGTTAGTTAGCAGCCCAGTACCTAAAAAACAAAAAAACTTTTCTCTGCATGAGAAGTGACTGCTCAGATTTGGGACTAGGTAGTGAGGCCAGGGCACTGGGTTGAAGGGAAAATATTCCAGTGCTATTTTGGAGAGTCTAGCCCTGAGGACAATTAAACAGTCCAGACAGGTCATTGGGTGAGACCAATTTCCTGGTTTGTTTATTTGAGCCTGATTGTTTTTCACCAACAAGCTGCAGGTCACAGTCCTGCTACACCCCCCACCTCAGCCCTGTGGAGAGCAATCCATTTCCTACTTGATTTTCCCAGATTTTCTTAAGAATCCTAGCTGCATCTTTATCTGGTGAGTTCCTCTGGTATCTCCGGTCCAGAGCAGAGGACGATGTCAGTGTTTAACTTTGACTTCATTCTATGCAGGCATTTGGCTTTATGTCCCGAGTTGCTCTACAAGCAGAGAAGATGAATCATCACCCAGAATGGTTCAATGTCTACAACAAGGTAACTACATTGTCTTATTTTTCAGTCATCTTAATTAGGGAGCTTAATAAACTTCTTTTTTTCTATGTCCTATTCTGTATAGACAAATGTCATTCTGCTTGGGAAACTTTCTGACCCTTTCTCTTAAAATTCCTGTAAAGTGTTGGAAATTAGTACCAATTCAGGTCAGCTCATGAGCACTGGGAATAAACTCTTTATTTTCACATTGTCTTCTGCTGAGACTAGTATGAGAATGTTGGGCCAAATTAGGATCCCAAATTAAATTTGCAGATAGATTTTTTAAACTCTTTAATATAAATTAGTGAAAGAGATAGTAGCAAATGACATAGCTGTATCCTTATTGATCTCTGGGAAATAAAATTTCCTAAGACCTGTGCTTTAAATAATAATAATTTGTGAAATATCATGTCTGACTTAAGACAAAGAACAGACTAAAAAGCCTTTATCAGGTAGTTTTATGAGAAGAGTCATATCCCTCTACCTCCCAAAAGAAGTGTCCCTGCCTTTATGGTCATGCCATTTGCAATGCCATATCATCCATATTTCTCTCTCTTTCTGTTTTCTTTTTGGAAGTCTTTGAAAAAAGAGAAGATTTCACAGATATACTTGTGATTAATTAGAGTAATTCAAAGCACTCTGGTACGAGGGTAAACCTCTCTTTCCTGGTTGCCGCTCCTTGCTCATAATTTTGCTTTTATTTTGTAATTTTTCTGTCCAAAAGTCAGGAGCTCTGGTGGCACTGTAATTAAAGCATTGGGCTGCTAACCAAAAATTAAGTGGTTCAAACCCACCAGCCACTCCATGGGGAAAGATGAGGTAGTCTGCTTCCATAAAGATTTACAGTCTTTTTATTTTATTTTTAAAATTTTCTTTATTATGATTTGGGTGCAAATGTACAAAGCAGATTCATTTTACTCTCTAGAATTCATACATATCTTGTTTCATGGCACCGATTACAATCCCAACAGTAAACAGCTCTCCTCCCATCTCCTCCCTGGGACTACCTCTTCCCTGTGTCCTTTTTATGTATGCATTCCTGTCTGTTCAGCTTTCTCCCTATGCAAACGCAGCCCTTCTGATCTCTCACAGTTGATTGATCTAAGGGGTGCATCTCTCTGGGTAGGTATTCTGCTCGTAGGCCTTTCTAGGCTTTGGCTGAGAGCTAATCCACAGAAATGAGTCCAGTTTCAGGCCCGAAGGATAACCTGGGGCCATAGTCTCTAGGGTTTCACCAGTCTCTACCTGACCAGTAATTCTGGTCATTTTTGTGTTTTTGAATTTTGTTCCATATTTTTCTTCCCACTCTATCCAGGTTCGCCAATTTTGATCCCTTTCTGAAGATTTACAGTCTTGGAAACCCTATGGGGGCAGTTCTACTCTGTCCTATAGGGTCATGGTGAGTTAGAATTGACTCGATGGCAGTTTTTTTTCTTTTTATTTTTTTGTCCAAAAGTAATATTCTGTTCCTCTTCCCCTAATTTGGCAATGTGCCTTTTTAACGTCATAGCTAAGATACATTTGGTAGCTTGAATTTTCTCAGTGGCCTGAAAATAGTCTGTGTAATTAAAGTAGTGGGAGTTAAAATGGAACTTCAGTCTTTCTTTCTTCAAGAAATAAGATGTGAGATTCCAGCAGCTGAATTGTGCCTTCCTATGAGAGAACTTTCCTCTGGACTGCTCTTGGGCCCAGGCTGATGCACACTGGAGTTTGCTGGTTTTGGACATGCAGTGCTTATTCATAATATAACATTTTCTAAACTACTTAATCCTCCCAACTCCCAAATATGAATGTCAGATAATAGATTAATTTCTGTACCACCAAAGGGAGAATATCATGAAGTGCAGCTCAGGTTTTAAAAACTGCTTCTCTCTTTCTTAGGTTCAGATAACCCTCACCTCGCATGACTGTGGTGGACTGACCAAAAGGGATGTGAAACTGGCCCAGTTTATTGAAAAAGCAGCTGCTTCTATGTGACTTCTTCCAGTTTTGTAAATCTAACACACATCTTAGCTGCAGCATATTTTGAAGGCAATTTACATAAATTAAGTTGTAAATTTAGTTTACCTTTATATGATGTTTTGTAGAATCAGTGCTTAAATACAAAATTACTTAAACTTGATCGTAAGGTATTTTTCATTTCATCTAATCACATACATAAGGTAAACCCACCCAGGTAATTATATTATTAATATTCAAAATGAGAAATGATATTTTTTGTAAAAATTTTTATTGTTATTTGGGTGCAAATTCATTTTCCATATAGCAGTTCATACACATTTTGTCTCATGATATTGACTGTGGTTCCCCACAATGTAACATCCCTCTTCCCACTTCCTCCCCATACTTACCTCTTCCCCATGTTCTTCCCTCCCATGCACTCCTGCCCACCTGAGCTGTCTCCCTCTGCAAACACTGCCCCTTCTCTTCTCCCATGATTGAGCTCTCCCAGGAGTGTATCTGCCTAGTGTAAATGTTCAGCTTATATGCCTGTCTTTTGTTTGGCTGGAAGCCATAGGAGTGGGTTCAATTCCAGACCTGAAGGGGAGCTAGGGGCCATAGTCTCAGGGGTTCCACCAGGCTCTATCAGACCAGCAAACCTAGTCTCCTTATTTATTTTTATTATGATTTTGAATTTTGTTCCACATTGTTCTCCCTCTCTATCCAGGATCTCCTATATAGATCTACCCTCCGAGTGGTTGACCTTAGTAGCAGGGCACCATCTAGCTCTTCTGGTCTCATAGTTATATAAGGTTGAAGACTGCATGGTATACCAGTCCCTTGGACTAATTGTTTACATGTGTCTTTGGTTTTCTTCATTCTTCCTTGCTCTGGATGAGGAGAGAACCATCATTGCATCTAGATGGCTGCTTGCAAGCTTTTAAGATTCCAGTTGCTACTCACCAAAGTAGGATGTGGAACAGGGTTTTTGTGTAGTATGTTATGCCAGTTGAGCTTGATGAATCCTGTGACCATGGTCCTGAGCCCACAGGTCCAACTACTCCCTCCCTCTGGGTAGTTGGCTGTGGCTAAGAAGTGACTACAACCTCGTCCCTTGTCAGGTCTACTATATACCTGGAAATTCTTACAGAACATACAAATACACTTGTAGAAACATTGTCTACCAACCCTCTACGTGGTCATGGGCACACTCCCCCCTGCATAGACATACCTGATTGTTCAGCCTGCCCATGCATCTATCCACCCATATATCCATGTTTGCCTTCACTGACAACCCAGCACTGTGTATGCAAAAAGGTTCATGTTTGTTGTCTATACCTCCCATGCTCCTCTCCATGTCTTCCTCTTCTTCAGTGCCACTGTGTTGATCAGTCACATTTGGTACATTGCCCTTCCTTTCACCCAAATCAATACTAGTCTCTACTTATCTAGCAATGTTCCCTCCCTTCCCCTCCCATGCCTGGTAACCAACAAAGAAAATTTCTTTCCATATATAAACCTTTCCTTGACTTTTTACAATAACGGACTAATACAATATTTGTCCTTCTGTGAATGACTTACTTCACTCAGCATGATGTCCTCCAAGTTCATCTATGTTATGTGGTGTTTTGCAGATTCTACATTATTCTTTAGTGTTGCATAATATTCCATTGTTTGTATGTACCATAGTTTGGTTATCCATTCTTCTGTTGATGGGCACCTTGGTTGTTTCCATCTTTTTGCTGTAGTAAATAGTGCTGCGATGAACATGGATGTGCCTATATCTGTTCTTGTCCTGGCTTTCACTTCTTTAGGATATATACCTAGTAATGGGATTCCTGGGTTAAATGGTAAGAAATGATATTCTTAAAGATCAGAAATTGGGATGGAGAGTATTCACACATTTTGTAACCCAGAAATTCAAGCAATTACAGTACAATTTTAAATTCAAGCAATTAAATGCAAAATGGAAAAAGAATTCTGAATTCTGAAGGTATAAAAATTTTGACAGAACTAAAGTTGGTTTGGATTTTGACTGTTGTGACTTTTATAATTTAACTACTTAAATAGTAACAAAAATTTTGTAAATCACCTTGGTGTGTTTTATCCTTACTTTTCAAACAAATAGTTGAAGAAGAGAACAATTATCTTGTTCATGCTTCCAGCAAGGTGGGGTAATAAAGGATTCACCTTCAAAGTGCCCAATCTTCCAGGTTCTTGTTTGACTTACTGAGTTAAGAGGAACTAAGAGTCACTCATTTTTTTTTTTTTTTTTTTTACCATTTGCATGATATACCCCTGAACTGAGGGTCTACAGCCACTGAGCTAGAAACTGCTTTGAGTATTAGCTAGTAATAAGTTCTACTTACTGTGTGTGTCAGTGATGGGAGTAATCTATTCTTAAAAAATCACAATAACAGGATTGTTTTAGGCTGGGTTCTATAGAGGAGCAAAACCAGTGAAGCGTATATGTGCAAATATATAGAGAGACATTTGTTTCAAGGAAATGGCTCATGCAGTTGTGGAGGCTGAAAAGTCCCAAATCCATGAGTCAGATGTCAGGCTGAAGGCTCTTCCTGACTCAGATGGTTGCAGGGGCTGATGAACCCAAAATCAGTAGGTCAGGTAGAAGGATGCTGGCTCACATTGCGAGAACCAGAGGTCATAGGATGACAAGTTGGATGCAGGATCAAGATCAAATGAGCTTTGCCAGAATGTCCATGTATACTGGATGCAGGCCACATCCCTGAGGAAACTCCCCTTAAATCAGATCACAAAATGGAGGATAATTACATACATTAAGAATCATGGCCTAGCCAAGTTGGCGCATGATATTAATCATCACAGTCCATCTCTTGTCAACTAGGTACCTGTACACATCTCTTTAAACCAAACAAAATCTCTAAATAAAGATGAATATAAAGTCACAGTTGCACTTAACATGATACAACTAGCATGCATACAGTTGAAAATTCACTAGCTCCATATTCCTCTTATATTTAATAAAAATGGGATAAGGGAGAGAAGAAAACAAAAATATTTGCCACACATGCATGCATGTATGTATAACAAAGAAGAAATACTCATAACAACCACAGTCCTCATGTGGTCATAATTGGTATTAAGAACTTCCTTCTTCTACCACCCATTCCATATTTCCTTTGCCCTCAGCAAGCACCTCAGCTGGTTGTGGTTTTCTTTGCCTGGTGGGGTGACCCAAACCTTCATTCCTGAAGGGTCTGAGCCATTAATAGTCATGTCAAAATTGGGATCTCCTATATTCCATTATGTAATGTCAATCCAATTTCCTCTTGGTAATCAGGTTCAATCACATCAGCCAATACGGTAACTCTCTTCTTTTCCTGTTGATCCAGAAGCATAAGGAACCAAAAATGGCTGGGGAGCTTTCTTGTTTTATTGTTTTTTCCCTCAGGACTGTAATAGTGTACCAGCTACTCTAACTAGTAAATACGAACTAGGAATAGAGCCTAGAAAGGCCCTAGAATTCAGCTGATCCTTTTTTTTTATTATTATTTTATTGAAATACAATTTATGTACAGTGAAATACACAAAACTAAAGTGACATAGGTTAATGCATTTTTTTCCATGTTCCCTCTCTTCCCCTCTCACCCCTGGCAACCAACAAAGTTTCCCTCCATATATAAACCTTTCCTTGACCCTCCACAACAAAGAACTGATACTATATTTGTCCTTCTATGATTGACTTACTTCATTCAGCATAATGTCATCCAAGTTCATCCATATTATGCAGTGTTTTGTAGACTCTACATTATTCTTTAGTGCTGCATAGCATTAATTATCAGCAAATATGAATTTGTTGCTGTCATTTTTGTTAGGTGCTTTTTCATGGTGTTGATTTCTTTGTTCCTTATAATTTTCTATGTTGAGCTTGTTTTGGTTATGAATTGTGTTATCACTTCCTTCATTGCTATTGTTTTAGTATTTGCTAAATATTTGTGCTGGTCCTTTTTTCATTTTGATGTGAAGTTTATCATTTTTCTTTGAGGTTAAACTCTGATTTATAGTTTTCTTCCCAAATTTAGAACAGTCTATTCTATCTTGTAGTTGTCTTGACTTCCCTACCATCTAGAAGTTCTGTAATAACACAGTGTTTTCCCTCTTTGTGGTTTGTAGTTGTCCTCATTTGTCAATTTATTTCTCTGGTTCCCTGTTTACAATGTTGTAGGCTTATTTACTTTGGATACTTCCATAGCTGGGTTGGTTTCTGGGTTATGTCATCATGTGTGTTAAAGGTCAGGTGTTGTTGGCTGTTGTTGCTTCTCTGTCCAGAGGGCTCCCATTAGCATCTCTTGTAAGGTTGGTCTGGTTTTAACAAATTCCCTTAATTTCTGCTTATCTGGAAATATCCTAATTTCACCATCATACATGAGGGACAGTTTTGCTGGATACATAATTCTTGGTTGGAAATTTTTCTCTTCCAGGGTTCTGTATATACCATCCCATTGTTTTCTTGCCTGCATGGTATCTGCCGAGAAAACTGAGCTTAGTCTTATTGGTTGCCCCTTGTTGGTAACTTTTGGTTTTTCCCATGCTGCTTTCAGGATTCTTTCTTTGTCTTTGGTTTTGGTGAGTTTGATGATGATATGTCTTGGTGATTTTCTTTTGGGGTCTGTCCTATTTGGGGTTCGTTGAACTTCTTGAATGGCTATATTTTCATCTTTCATCATACCAGGAAAATTCTCTTCCAACAAATCTTTGACAATTTTCTCTGTGGTTTTGTCTCTTCCTTATCTGCAATTCTGATTACATGTAGGTTATTTCTTTTGATGGTATCCCACACGAACCTTAGGCTTTCTTCATTTTGTTTTCATCTGTTTTTCTGATTGATCACTTTCCAAAGAAGTATTGAGGTATTTGCCTTCAATCTCACTAATTCTGTCTTCCATTGATTCAGTTTTACTCCTTTGCCTGTTCAGTGCCTTATCTATTTCTGAAAATTTAGTTTTATTAATCTTCTGGATTTCTGTCTGTAGCTTTTGTATCATTTCTAATTTTTCATTTATTTTGTCATTTTGTTCTTGTATTGTCTTCTGAAATTGTTCTAGGGTTTTCTCTG